AGCTCAAAGAACTTACTAGGTAGGGAGCCGCACCCAAGGGAGGGAGTGGAGGAAGGGGAAAGGAGGAAAGAGGAAAATGAGAAAGCAGGAGAAGGGAAGATGAAGAAAGGAAAGGGAAAATAGGCAGGATGGAAGAAAATCCAAGGAGGGAGGAAGTAATTTTATTAGGCATACGTAAAAGAAAACAGATCTGAGATAAGGAATAGCAGCGTGGACCCACTGAGGATACTGAGGTCAACAAAGTCTTTAGAATAAGGTTTAATTTAAGCTCAGGCCTGAGAGATGAGAAGCTAGCCATGCAGAAAGTGCTTGGGACAGAGAGAACAACCCATGGAAAAGGCTACAGGTAGGAAATGTTGTGGGCTGGATCCTTGAGGGCGAGGCTAGCAGGCAGTAGGTGCAGAGCTGGTCTCCAGATCCAGCCAGCCACTGGGGCCAAGTGAGATAAGCATGTGCCTCTGTTCTGAGACTAAGCAAGGACTGCCGCATCTTATTCGTCTTTTAAGAAATGTAATGTTTGATGCCAACAGACTTGGATCTGCATTATTTTTTTAAAATTTTATTTGTGTGTGTGTGTGTGTGTGTGTGTGTGTGTGTGTGGCCAGCTCAGCCCACCAGGGGGCAGGGCTGGCTGGCATGTGGTGCTGGGGGATTGAACTGCGGTCCCTGTGCTTTGCTAAACTTGTTCTAAGTAGGTGCTTTAGACCACTGAGCAATCTCACCAGCCCCTGGATCTGCATTATGAAACATAATAATAAAATGAACACCTGAGACCCTACCACCTACCAACACCCTTAAGCTCCCAACTTAGCTTTGAAAAGTCTTTTTGCAGGAGTGTGGAGAATGGCCTCCAGGGAGTGGAAGGGAAAGAAAGGCTAGTAACCTAAGCAGGTAATCAAGGCAAACCATGATGATGGCCTGGAGAAACTGGGGTGCAGAAGGGATGGAGAAAAGGGACATAGTTAAGATAGGTTTGGAGTGGTACAAACTCTGTGCCCAGGGTGTGAGCATGTTGTGGTTGTCATGATGTGCACTAAACTGGGACCCACTAGATGTGAGCAGAAAGGCCAGCAGGGAGAGCCAGACCTCCTTTCCTTCTGGCAGTGGGAGGAGCAGCACCGAGGACAGAGCTGTGAGGAGTTCCAGGACTGGAAGCGCAATAATGACCCGGAATACCAGGCCCAGGGCCTGGCAATGTATCTTCAGGAGAATGGCATTGGTAAGGCTGCCCCCACCTGGCCCATCTGCTCAGTGGTCTATCACTGGCAGTCGTTCTCTCCTTGTGGGCCTTGAGTGGCAGTGGCAGCCCCAACCCTGATCCACTGTCCCTTACAGACTGTCCGAAATGCAAGTTCTCATATGCCCTGGCTCGAGGAGGCTGCATGCACTTTAACTGCACCCAGTGCCGCCACCAGTTCTGCAGCGGCTGCTACAATACCTTTTATGCCAAGAATGTGAGCTCAGGGGCTGGGGAAGGGAGAGAAGGGATGGGACTGCCCTTGGGTTTGAGGGTGAGAGGCCACTGAGGAACAGCCCAGGGGAACAAAAGAGATCAGTACGATGTAAAGTACGTGTGTCTCTCCACTCTCCCCTTTTGCTTGCTCCAGACCTTCCAATGTCTCCATCTCCCTTCACCCCATGCCCCTCACGCAGGGGTTCCTGAGAGGCCAAGACCCCAGCAGTCTCTTAAGTTTTCCTCTCCCATCTGGGTTTCTACCAGAAATGTCCAGAGCCGAACTGCAGGGTGAAAAAGTCCCTACATGCTCACCACCCTCGTGACTGCCTTTTCTACCTGCGGGACTGGTCGGTGGCCCAACTCCAGAAGCTGCTGCAGGTCAGAGATGGCCGGCCTAGCTGGGTGTGCAGGTCAGAGGTGGCCGGCCTGGTTGGGTTTGCAGGTTGGGGAGGAGGAGGAAAGGCACAGGGTGGACATGAGTGGCAGCATTCTTGCGGGCCCCGCTGGGCATAGAGAGCTAGGAAATGACAATGGCTCACAACAAGGGGAACATAATGTCCATCTGTCTCTGCCCCTCCTCAGGATAATAACATTATGTTTAATACAGAGCCTCCTGCTGGAGCCCGGGCAGCCCCTGGAGGTGAGTGTTGGACAAACCTCTGAGAAGGGAACATGGTGTGTACCAGTGTGGGAACTATTTGGCCAGCTAATTTACTTCCCCAGGTCTTGTTTTTCTCCTCTGTAAAATAAGGATTGTAGGGGCTGGTGAGATGACTCAGTGGTCTAAAGCACCTACTTAGAACAAGCTTAGCAAAGCACAGGGACCACCGTTCAATCCCCCAACACTGTATGTCAGCCAGTCCACGCCCCCTGGTGGGCTGAACTGGCCACACACACACAAATAAAAATAATTTTTAAAAAAGAATTGTAATATTCATTTTGCTATTAAGCTGTTTTACAAAATCATTAAAGCACATGGCCCTAGGCCGGGCGTGGTGTTGCATGCCTGTAGTCCCAGCACTTGGGAGGCTGAGGCAGGAGGACTGCCATGGTTTGAGGCCAGCCTGGGCTACATAGTAAGTTCAAGGCCAGCCTGAACTACACTGCAAGACCCTGTCTCAGAAAAACAAAACAAAACCAAAAAAAGTACATGGGGCCAGCCAGATAGTTCAGCAGACTAAAGAGCCTGCTTAGGCAGAGTGCAATGGCCAGGGTTTGATCCCCAGCATGCTGTGCAGGCCCCGCGATTGAGACTGGGCGTGGTGGTGCGTGCCTGTAATCCCAGCACTTGGGAGGCTGAAAACAGGAGAATCACTATGAGTCTGATCTATGTAGTGAGACCCTGTAGACCCTGAAAACCATGTACTAAATACATTTTTTAAAAAAGCACATGACCTTTGTTATTTCTTCTCATATTCTCAAATGATAATGCTTCATTAATCAACTCTGTATTTAATGTCACCTAGCAGTTGCAGGGCACTGTCTTTCCATGAGGGGACACAGGAAGGTTAACCATGCAGGAGCTAAATAAGAAGAGAGATAAGTGAGAGTATGTGGTTTTGGGCCAAAAGCCACCATGGGTAAAAGTAGGGACAGCACAGTTATCAGTATCAGCCTGTGTATCAGAGTTGGTGTGTTGTACATGGCATCTAAGTAGCTGAGCTCCAGCACTAGTGCACCAGGAGTTCCTGTACTCAGTCCTCTCCCTAGAGGCTGCCTTCATAGGCTCCACAGATATCCCCATTCTCCAGATGCTTTGTAGGCAGTGGCCTCCTCCCAACCAGGGGTCCCTTCCTCCCCTTCTGCTTAGGTGGCTGCCGAGTGATGGAGCAGAAGGAGGTTCCCAATGGGCTCAGGGATGAAGCTTGTGGCAAGGAAACTCCACCTGGTCATGCCGGCCTCTGCCAGTGAGTGCTGGGCAGGGCACAGAGCACGGTGTTGGGGGTGGGAGATAGGAGAGGTGAGGCTGTGGCCAGGCAGTAAACTAGGGTTTCTAGGAGTAGCACCTCCTGCAGAAAGGGGGTGGGGGGAGGGCTCTTCTGGAAGGGGCATGAAGTAGACACTGGTTGGCTCTGACCTACAACAGATAGCAGTTGTCAGTTTGGTTTGTTTTTTGGTTTTCTTGAGACAGGCTCTTACTTTGTAGTTCAGGCTGTCCTTGAACTCCCTATGTTATACAAGCTGGCTTCAAACAGCAGTTCTCCTGCCTCAGCCTCCCAAGTGCTGGAATTACAGGCATGTGCTACCACGCCTAACTTGTTTCATTTTGTGATACTGGGGGTTGAACCTGGGACCTTCGTACTGAGCTACATGCCTGTCTTCGACATAGGGTCTTCCAGAATCACTGAGTTGCATAGATTAGTCTTAAAGTACTAAACTACCCAGGCAAGAGTCAAACTTCTCATCCTCCTGCCTCAGCTTCTAAGAATGCTGGGATTAGAGGTGCACACCAGCATGCTCAGCTAGCGGCTATCTTGTTTGTCTGAGGACCCCAGTGCCCAGCAAAGTGCTAGGCCCACTCAGTTAATGTTAGCAGCAGAACAACAGATACTCGACTTCCTCATCTCCCCAGGGCACACTACAAAGAATATCTTGTGAGCCTCATCAATGCCCACTCATTGGACCCAGCGACTCTGTATGAAGTGGAGGAGCTCGAGACTGCCACTGAGCGCTACCTGCATGTGCATCCCCAGCCCTTGGCCGGAGAGGGTCCCCCTGCCTACCACGCCCGTTTGTTACAGGTAACACTTTTCACTCAGCCTTACCTGTCACCATCCTCCAGAAGTCATCCGTCCTGGCCTATTTATGAGCTCCAGGCATCCAGTATCATTATCTTCTCTCTCCTTCTGCAGAAGCTAATGGAAGACGTGCCCTTGGGACAGAGTATCCCCCGAAGGAGGAAGTAGCTGAGGGCAAGGGTCTTCAGGAGGGCCCAGCGGCCTGGCTTCTTCAGGAGCAGCTCCAGCACCAATAAAGAAGCATCTTATTGCCAGGCTTCTTAGTGGTCCTTCTTCCTGGCCCCACCGTTTAGGGGAACCAGGGAAAAGGGGGTGAATGAAGTTTTGCTGAAAGGGCCTCCTGCACTCTGCCACCTGATCCACCCTGCACTCAGGCCAGAAGCAGTTGGCACCTTGAATGGGCAAGGAGACTCTCCCCACCCAAGCACCTGGCTTGGGCTTCCCTCTTTTCCTCCCTTCCTTTCATGGGATTCAGCTAGTGTTGGACGTCACCCAACGGTACCAAGTGGGCACGGTGGGGGGACAAACAGGTGTACATGTGATCCTGAAACTCCAAGCCAGACCGCAGGAAACTGGCTTCCGTGAAGAGACAGCAACTTCAGGCACAGAAAGTTGGGTGACAAGCGAGGAGAATTGGGCAGAGGAAAGGGAGGAGCAGAAGGGAGCGCCCTGCTGCTGACGGCAGAACTGTGACAGATTCCCAGGTGTTGCTTCCCTCTAGCGGTAGCCGGCCACCCTGCAACTCAAACCACGTGATTTCTGGGAAAGGGACCTCCCCGAAGAGAACTGAAACTTAGGGTGGGGACTGTAAAAGGGGTGGGGAGATCATAAAGCCGCCAAGCCAGGAGCTGAGTGAGGTGCCTTGAGCCCTGCGACAGCCCGGACTGCAGCTCAGGTAAGAACAGCCAAAAGTGGGGGGCCGCCGGGGTTCTAGAGCTGGAAGGCCTAGTGAGATTGGAGTCCAGGGACCCTTTGCAGGAAGAAGAGCCAGTGAGTCGGGAAGCGCAGGAGAGTTGGCCTAAAAGTGAGAGACGGGTAAGCGCCAGTGCTCCACGCCTGGTTGAAAGGGACAGGAAGAAACTGTGCCTTAGGTCCCGGGAGGAAGACTCTTAGCCTAGCCTCAGTTGACCGTCTCCTTGCCCTCCAGCCCTGCCCACTTCTGTAGCTCCGCCTGTGACCACAGCTCCTTGCCCCACCTACCCCTGGAGCAAACTGGAGGGCCAAAGGTCAAGGGTTGGGAGAGCTAGGTAAAGCTCAGAGACCCCCTCAGCCAAGGATCGGTCCTCTAAACAGCCTCTCGTCAGGAGGCCGCCCAGGGAGTTCTTTCTCCCAAACAGTACATTGCTGAAAAGTCTTAAGATAAATGTTAAAAAAAAAAAAAAAATGACTAATGTCTACCGCGTATGGTGGTTCACACCTGTTATCTTATCCCAGCCCTTTGGGAGGCTGAAGCAGAAAGATTGCCACAACTTCAAGGCCCGCCTGATTTACAAAGTGAGACCCTGGGGGGGGGGGGGGAAGACCAATATCTATGCTTTCTATCCAGGTACTAGCTCAGAATGTTAAAAACATTTACTTTTAAAATAACTGCTAGTGAAAAAAGTACTGACAAGTGATGACAAAAAACAAAAGAATTCTGCCTCAGAGAACATTGTATATATAGAGCGCAAAGATGAGGCTGTTTGCCACCCGCTAGCCCCAGGGGTCGTGGGTTTCTTGGATCTCCCCCTTATCCAACCACCAAGTGCCGGTTGTGTTGCTTGCTACTCCTCTTATCTTCCAGGATGGCATCAGGCCGGACTCGCTGCACCCGAAAGCTCCGGAGCTGGGTAGTGGAGCAAGTGGAGAGTGGGCGGTTCCCAGGGGTATGTTGGGATGATGAGCCAGCTAAGACCATGTTCCGGATTCCCTGGAAGCATGCAGGCAAGCAAGATTTCCGCGAGGACCAGGATGCCTCCTTCTTCAAGGTAAAAGGACCTGGAAACTGCTACCACCTTGTGGATAGTGAATACACTGGTGTGCTTGCCCTCAAGTCCTTTGGTCTCTGACTGGGTTTCAGATAAGTATTTGTAGATATTTATATGTAGAACTCAGTACCAAATGAAAATGCAGAACCCCACATTAGAAGAATAATAAGGATTTCAAAATGCCCGTGGGTGTGGAAGTACACACCTGTAATCCCAGCACTATAGGAGGCTGAGGCATATCCTAAATTTGAGGCTCAGGGGATCACGGTTCAATCCCCAGCTCCACTGCTGCAACAGGCCAACCCTGAAGGCTGTCTGAGCCAGCCAAAAAGAAAAAAGAAAAAAAAAATTCTAAGTTTGAGTTCCTTCTGAGTAGTTTGGCATAGACCTTATCTCAGAAAGGTTCAGGATGTAGCTCAGTGGGAAGACCCTGTGTCCAACTGCCAGTATGGTGAGTAAACAAAGATTTCAAAACAGTGGCAGAACACACACCTAACACTCTAATGCCTTGCACTTGCACAATCTGTGGGCCAGGGACCCAGCCCTCTTAGAGGGACAGATGGGGTATGCAGCATGTTGCCTCTTCTTCGCTTCCTTTCTTTACTAGGCATGGGCAATATTTAAGGGAAAGTACAAAGAGGGGGACATAGGAGGCCCTGCTGTCTGGAAGACTCGTCTGCGTTGCGCCCTCAATAAGAGTACAGAATTTGAGGAGGTTCCTGAGAGAGGCCGTATGGATATTGCTGAGCCCTACAAGGTATATCGGCTGCTACCTCCAGGAACCCTGCCTGGTAAGTGTCCGCTTGCCCAACTGCCCAGGAGACTGAGGAGAAAGGATGGAGACTCAAGCCTCCTGAGGTCCCTTTGACTTCTGCCCTGTCCCTGCCTCAGGAGCTGCTGCCCAGGTTCCCCTTCCCTGTCTAACCCATCTCTTAAGATTCCTTCTTTGCTAAGATCCTGTTTTTCTTCCCTCACCAATTGCATAGCCCAGCCAGGGACCCAAAAATCATCAAAGCGACACCACAGTTCTGTATCCCCTGAGAGGGAAGAGGAGGAAGAGACTTTGAAGAGCTGTACCCTCAGTCCTTCCTGCCTCCAGGACCCCTTCAGTAATGTAAGAGCTGAAGAGGGGACGGCCTGAGGGTGGGACAGTAACTAGAGGGAGAAGTGGACTGATGCTAGACATTGTGCATGCAGGAGGCTGCAAGAACCCCTGGGGAAGCAGGCCACCTGGACAGTGGGAGCAGCGGCAGCAGCTGGAGCAGCAGTGGTAGTCCTGAGTCGCAGGAAGGTACTGCTTGCCCTGCCTCTGTGTCCTTCGTACTATGCCCTCTGACCTATGGACTCCCCAGTTCCACCCTGAATGACCAGTGCCTTTGCCTCGATTCCAGGTACAAAGAGCGCTGAGACCACTGCTCATGAGGACCCGATAGAGCATTCACTCCCTCTAGACTTAAACTTAGGTACTTGGCACTTACAACTCTTTCCTGCTCCCTTTCATTCTAAGTCTGCTTCCTCTGTCCTTGCATCCTTTGTCCTTATAGCAAATTGTTTTTGGGGTTTTTTGGGGTTTTTTTGGCAGAACCGGGGATTGAACTGAGATCCTTGCACTTGCCAGGCAAGCGCTTATTCTACTGAGCCATCTCCCTGGCCCTCTTATAGCAAATTGTACACACTGTACCTTAGACAGAGGCACTGGCTTCTAGACCAAATTCCATGACCCTATTCCCCAAAGCTTTTTTCCCCAAAAATACAACCTAGCATGCACTGCTCCCTGGATATCCACATTACAACTTTTTTTTTTCTGTTGAGCATTGAACCCAAAGCCTCACATATGCTAAGCAAGTGCTGTACCACTAAGCTATATCACTAGCCCTATTTTGAGATATCAGTAAACAATCCAGACTGGCCTTGAACTTTCAGTCCTCCTGCCCCAGCCTCCTTAATAGCTGGGATTACAGGCATGCACCACCAGGCCCAGTGAGACACTGATTTCTTTGTGTTCAATAGAAACCCAGTTTCTGAGGACCCTTTTGTAAACAAGGCCTTGGGCATTGCACCCTGATGTGGGTGAACTTTCTTGAAAAGAGAGCTACTCTCTTGAAAAGTAGGCAAGCCTAAGAGCATGCCCTGGCTGATGCCTTTTTTTTTTTTTTTTTTTTTTTTTTAAACAGGGACTCTGTATACTTCAGGCTGGCCTTAAACTCACTAAGTAGCACAGGCTGGCTTGAGCTTGAAAGCAGTCCTCCTGTCTCAGCCTCCCAAGTCCCAGGGTCACAAACATGTGCCACTATGCCCAGATAAGGGCCCCTTTTTTCAATCTGGGAATCCTTATTTTTTGTTGTTGTTGTTGTTGTTTGTTTGTTTTATTTTTTGAGGTACCAGGGATTGAACTCAGGACCTTGCACTTGCCAGGCAAGTGCTTATTCTACTGAGCTATCTCCTTGGCCCCCCAGTCCTTATTTGTTTTCCCTCTTTTGCCTCAGTTGTTTTTTTTTTGTTTGTTTGTTTGTTTGTTTTTTGTCTTTAGGACAGGATCTACAGAGTCTGTAGGGTCTCACCATGTAGATCAGACTTGTAGCAATTCTCCTGTTTTTAGCCTCCCAAGCACTAGGATTGCAGGCATGCGCCACCATGACCAGTTTCAATCACCATCCCAGTGCAGAGCCGGCACAGCACACTGGGGATCAAACGCCAGCCACTGTGCTCTGCCTAAGCAGGTGCTTTAGTCTGCTGAGCTACTGGGCCATCTCTAGCCTCAGTTTTATTAGCAAAACGAGGACACTGAATTCCAATGACCTTCTCTTCATTTTCCTAGTCTGTGCTCATCAGATGTACCCTGGGGGTGCCGGGCTGCTGCCAGCCTCGCACTGCTCTCGCACCTGGTACAGCTGGGCTGTTCTATCCCCAGACTACTCGCTGTTGCTCACCTTCATCTACAGTGGGCGTGTGGTGAAAGAGTACCGGGTGCACAGCCTGGACTGCCGCCTTGTGGCCAGGGCCTCAGAGTCCGAGAGCAGCATCAGGCAGGTGATGTTTCCTCAGCCTGACCCCGGGGATCCCAGCCAGCGCCTGCTCAGCCAGCTCGAGAAAGGCATCCTGGTGGCCAGCAACTCCCGAGGCCTCTTTGTGCAGCGCCTCTGCCCCATCCCCATCTCATGGAACGCACCTCATGTCCCTCCTGGACCAGGCCCACATCTGCTGCCCAGCAACAAGTGTGTGGAGCTGTTCAAAACCGCCTGCTTTTATAGAGGTGAGGCTGTATGAGCTGGGCTTCTAGCCTAGCCTCCTACCTTAGCTTCCCCTGGGCCTCACCTGATGGGTCCAGCTGCCACCTTGGCCTACGGCAGACTGTACTGCTGGCACCACTACACTCGGACGTGCACATCCCACATGGCTTAGCCCTGGCAGCCCTTGCCAAGGTCACAGAAGATGGGGTTCAGGGGAGCCTAGCCTAAGACTTCACGTTCTGGGGAGCATTGTCATGTTGAAGCACATGGTAGTTGCATGCAGTGTGTGGACAAGTGAGTGCAGAGACTGAGCCTGGCAGGCACCTTCTGTACGTGCACTGACCTCCCCCATCATGCAGGAGCAGGGTGTGCCTCACACGCCTGGCCTTGCTGCTTGGTGTCTGCCACACTGTGGATGACCACCTTCTCTCTATCTACTCCTGAAATTCCATTTCCAGCTGCCACTCCACTGTGCATCTGACCTTCGGAGGGGGCCAGGAGCATAGGGCATTCAGAATGTGAGGTTCCCAGGGCCTCAGGTGTGCTGATCTGGGAGAGTGACAGCAGCAAAGGTGCTAGCAGCCAGGGCTGCTGCCTGCTAGGACTCAAAGTCTCCTAGAGAAGAGGTTTAAGTGTACAAATAGGAAAGGGAGCCCCTTCCTCAAGAAGTGCAGTAACTGTCTGCACTTCTGAGTAGTAGCTTAGTTCCTGGTATCTCCTGACCCACAGTTCAGACTCTGGCCTTCATATAGCCCCACTTACCTCTCTCTTCATTGTGGGGTCCTTGACGTTTCCTCCTTGCCTGGAGGGATGAGAAGAGTGGGTGTTGGCAGCTAGGACTCTCGCCCATTTTGCTCATCCTTGACCCTTTCTGTTTCAGACTTTAACAAGTACTCCCAGGGCCTGGGCCCCCCACCCGAGTTCCAGGTAACACTGCATTTCTGGGAAGAGAGCCCTGGCCCGAACCAAACTTCACAGAACCCTGTCATAGTGCAAGTGAGTCAGAGCAGGGGCCAAGTAAAACGTTTGATGGGGAAGGGTTTCAGGAGGAGGGAGATCCTTGGGGGGGGGGCTGCTCCTGGGGAGAGTATCTGCCCTGCTATGTTCACTGAGCCCTGGTCCCCATCTTTTCGGGTACAGATGGAGCAAGCCTTTGCCCGGCATTTACTGGAAAGACATCAGAGTTAACACAGCCCTTCAGCTCCTGATGAGGAGCTGGGGGATCCACCAGCTACTTCATGTTCCTCCTGTCTCCTTTGGAAAAGACTCATTCTCCATACCATTTATCTGCCTCCCTTTGTGTTAACTCCGGTGTGACCTGCCTCTGAGCTATGTCCTTGAACTCCTATGAGTCCAGACTGGTGGAGAACACTTTATCCTTTGGAAAAAATTTTTTTGAGATATACTCTCTTTTAGCTCTAAGGAACTGGGAAATTTCCAAACAGTATGAACTTGGGCTCTTTCCTTCTTCCCCAAGCCTCAACTCTAAAGCTAAGCACTTTATGTTTTCTTCCAGGGTCTTCACGAGAATCTAAAATAAAATATTCAAACAGGAGTCACTATCTGATTTATTGGGCAAAGACAGCAGGGGTATAGGAGATGGTAGACCTAAATTTAGAATCAGGGCACTGGAATTCTCTTCTTGCTGACATCTCTAAGCTCTTTTGCTCTTGTCAGCCTACAAGCTGAAGGTGAGATGCTGCCTGGGTGCTATGGTTCTGGACCTGGGACTCTTCAGAGGTGTACTCACTAGGCAAGCAAGATGAGGGAGATGTAGACGTAGGGGCCAGGAATAGTGGTTCATACCCATAATCCCAACAGTTGGGAGGCTGAGGCAGGAGGATTATCATGAGTTCAGGATCAGCCTGGGCCATGTAATGAATTCATGGCCCACCTGATCTACGATACGTAGTGAAATCCTGTCTCAGACAACAATAAAGAAAAACTAAAAGGTTGGGGTCAGCCACCAAGAGGGTAGGGTCACTGAACCTACAACTAAACAGCCAGGAACCACATCCATTTCACATGGGAAAATCTGGTCTCCACAGTCTTGCTGGAGGCCTCTGCTGTAAATGTCAAATATAGGCCAGGGGTGGAGTGTGGAGGTAAAGGCCTATAATTCCAGTCCTTAGGAGGCTGAAGTGGGAGGAGTGCAAGGCCAGGCTGAACTATATAACAAGGCCCTAAGAAGAAATTGATGTATTTTAAAAAGGCAATCCTGTCTCCAAAGAGTGCCTTCTTCTAGGGGGCCACACTTTGATATGCTAATAGTGGGGTTTCACAAGTTCTCAGATTTTCTACTTGAGGTGAGCCAATGGTTAGAGTTATAAATCTGTGGTTTTTTAATAGTTGCTTTTGCCACAAATTAATAAAAGACCTCGGGCTGGAGAGATGGCTCAGTGGTCTAAAGCACCTACTTAGAACAAGCTTAGCAAAGCACAGGGACTGCGGTTCAACCCCCCAGCACCACATGCCAGCCAGCCCCGCCCCCTGGTGGGCTGAGCTGGCCACACACACACACACACACAA